TGATATATTCATTCCCCACAATGAATAGGAGGTGCTGGAAGAAGAGAGGTACCTGGGTGTGTTAGTCATTCAGAAGTTAACCATAAGTGGTGTCCAAAAAAGGTTTATGTAATTCTAAGGTCAGTTAGGTGATGGATATTTAGAAACAACAAGGAAGCATTAGTGCCACTGTACAAGGCATTGGTAAGATCTCATTTAGAATATTCTATATAGTCCTGGTCTCCTATGTTAGAAAAAGATTAAACAGGAACAGGTGCACAGACCAGCTATTATGATGATTAGGAGAAAAGTGATATCTTAGGAGGATAGATCAGAGAAGTTTTGCTTGTTTAGCTTACCAAAATGAAGGTTGAGAAGGGATTATGATAATTCTTTATAAATACAGTCATAGGGTGAATATTAGGGAGGAAGAAGAGGTATTTAATAGAGCTGTGTGAAACTTCCATCCCCGATTCGATTCAGTGGAGATTTGGCCTGTTTCAGCAGCTGATTCTCTGAATCCAAGTCCAATCAGAGTACCCTTTAATCTCTCCGAATCGAATCGGAACCCTCCAAATGGATTCGGAAAGATTCGGAGATTCGGACATTGAGACAGCTTAAAATGTTTTTTCCACGTGCTTCTAGGTAGCAAGGAATTGTGAGTACTGTGATGCTGGGGCGCATGGAGCATCCCACAGAAGCGCAGGGGGCTCCCCAGCGTGCTTGGCAGCAGACCCGGAAGTGGACCAGAAGTACTTCCAGTCCACTTCTGGGTCTGCCAAGGAGTGTGCTGGGGAGCCCCTCCATGCTCCCCCGGCTCAGCAACTGGTGCCTCCTGGGTCTGGGGGGGGGGCACCCAGGGTCCTCCCACGGCCAATCGCAATATAGAAACATATTTAAAGTTGTGTCTGTGTCTGAATCGCTGTTTCTCTGAATCAGCATCGACTCTTCAGATTCGGCCGAATTAAATCAGGGAGTGATCTGAATTAATGAATACGAATGTGAATTGAATAGTGCCCTCTTCGCACGCCCCTAGGATTTAACTTAAGGGCAAAGTAAGTTCAAGATTAATTGGCTACAGACTGGTCACAGACAAATTTATCCTGCAAATTCAAAGATCCCTAACCATTAGAAGAGGGAAATTTTGGAATGGTCTTCCAAAAAAGTAATGGAGGCAAAGAGCCTGAATTATTCAAGGGTTTTGAGTATCAGGTGTCCCCTTCAAGTGATGAAGAGAAACTCAAATTTCTGTGTGGGTGGCTTTCATATGTGGGTGGTGTCCTATAATCCCATACTGCTGTCTTTCTGTAGAGCACCAGGAAATTCTCCCACTCTCCCTCCCTGAATGCATTATTTGGCTCCTGTGATATTTTTTTCACTCCCTCTGAAGCACAATAGGGACACCATGACTAGAGGTGGGCAGCTTGGCTTGTAACAGTTCTTAGAAACCTCTTGAATCTCTGGCCAGTGAGTCTTGTTCACTTACTTGAAGCCAAACAATCCCTAGATTTCCTGTTGGGAAATAATTTTTCTTTATGTCAGATTGGCAAGGTCTGTGGAAGAGGTGGGCGAGCTGCCTTCCTCTGAAGCACAGAGTCTGGTTCTCTTCCTAGGAAAAGAACTCCCTATAATTACAGTGATGAGATATTAGTGGCTAGGGACACATCCAGGCTGCGGGGAGGTTGGTTATATCCCCCATCAATTCCTCTTTCCTTCCTGCCACCTACAGCAGCTGAGGGCCCAGCCCTGCCAGAGCTGGGCTACCTGGCCCCTCTTCCCAAGCCAGGCCCAGCCCTGCCAGAGCTGGGCTACCTGGCCCCTCTTCCCAAGCAGGCCTGTCAATCCTGCTAGCCTGGGAGGCCAAACCGTTCCCCTTTCCAAAATCCTAGATCTGCTGTTGTTGGTGGCACTTGTTTCTCCTGCTCTTTATCTATGGCACATTATAGGGTTTTTCCCCTTAAAGGCTGGGATGTGTGAAAGGAGCTATTTCTGTGAACCCCTTTGTACACATGGGTGGTACTGAACACAGGGGATGGGACTCAATGGCCCAGGAAACCCCTTCTAGCAGTGATGTAACTAGGATAGGACAAATAAAATAATTGCCTCAGGTGCCAACTTGGTGGGCAAAAAGTCGCTGCTGCCCCAACTGAGCCCCAACACTACTGTCCTTTAGTCCTAACTTCCAACACATTTAATAGTAATTCAAGGCCTGATCTGTGCAGAGAGGGAACGCTGCTCTGTAAGTCAGTCCTCCCTGATGTGGAGATGAGAGGCAGAGGGGCAAACACTCCGTTCTGCTTCCTTCACACAACATGCTTGACTGCAGTGGAGAGCACCTGCTTCTGTGCAAGGTCTGTGTGTGGCCAACCTCCACAGTTGGGGTCTTTGTGACAACCCAGACTAGCGATGGCAAAGCACACACCATGTTGCATATCATCGATGACTGCCCATTGACTAAGTTCAGCAGTGGACTACAGGAACTGCACGTGGCCACTGAGGATGCTACCACATGGCTCAGCAATTACACACATGCTGACTGACTGATTTCTCCCCAAAATACACTGGTGAAATCTAATGTGAGGCAGTAGCGGAGCAGAGATACCCCAACCAATACAGGGCACAGTTTGCACATAGTAAGTTTAGTGCTTTGTGGATACAAAAGGAGAATTTCAAGCTGCGGAGAGCACAGAAGGATAACTTACTGCCATAGGCGCTGAGTACGCAGAGGCCCGAAGGCCCTGGCCCCTCTTGGGAAGACGGTAGGGTGAAAACCTGTCCTTAATTGAGCAGGACAGTCCCAAAATGAAAACATCAAGTCCTGGTCCTGGGCTGCATGATTCCAGGACAGAATTTGTCCCAGATTCCTATTACCGTGCAGGCATCCGGGTTTTCCATTCATGGTGGAAAAATGTGGGAAATGGTGAGTTTCCCCATGCAGGCTGACAGAGTTCCAGCCCACAAGGGAATGTAGGGAGTGGGACACAGGGGACGTGTGTACATGCACAGGAATACAGCCCCAGGCAGCAGAGAAGAGCAGCTCCCCCAGCTGCCTGCAGGTAAGTCTGTGGGGGGAGCAGATAGAGGCCCCCACAGTGAGGGAGGGAGTGGGGCAGGGGCTGGGCCTGAGGGCACTGCCCAGCCAGGATGGTGCATGGGGGCTGGAGTGGGGAGCAGGACAGAGCCATGGGTGGCTTATCCAGCAGGTGGGGGGCAGCTTCCTGCCACTGCATGCACTCCCAGGGAAAAGGGCATGGGGGGCACGTTCCCCCCAGATTTGTGTGTGGGGCAGGGGCAGATGTGGGCTGCTCTCTGCAAGCTCAGGGCTCCCACCCTGCTGCCCTCTCCCAGGAGACCGCCGCCAGCCACGCCACCAAGGCAATGCACCCCCTGCCTGCTCAGCAGCAGCACGGATGGTAGCATGGACTTGTGCCCCCCCGTTGCTGCCAGGTGGGCAGGAGGCACCTTGCCAGCGTAGTGCAGCCAGCACAGGCCTCCTTGGGGTGGGGGGAGGGGGCAGCAGGATGGGGAGCCCCAAGCTCGCAAAGAGCAGCCCTCATCTGCTCCCATGCCCCCGTGGGCTCCACTCAGCTCTGCTCCAGCTGTGCCAGCAGGGGGAGGGGGACAACGACATCATCTTCGGCCCCCACCCCAACTCTGGCAAAAATAAAAGTCGCACCAATGCTTACTGCACCACAAAATGTCAAGCAGGGAAGACTAACAGGTTGATAAAAATAATATTTTAAAAGCCCAACAGAGCATAGAATAAGGCCTTAAATTACTTTTAATAAATCATGGCATCTGTGTCAGAAAGTGAAGGAACCCTTCATCTTTCCTGAAACCAGGCTCTGTGAAGGGACAAGCTTCAAGGCCTATGTATCACTTAAATGGGATGTAATCTACAGGGTGAATTTTGTCTCCTGCTGACCAATGTGTTTCACTTAATTCACTATTCTTGCCAGGAGCAAGGAAGAAAATAGTAGATAAAGACAGTCAGGCTCAGAGAAGTGGGGCAGATTTACTCACAGAAACTGTAGCAGTCTTCTCACTGTCAGAGGCCTGCACCTCAAGAATGTACCTCTGAGTTGTTTCATAGTCCAATGTAGCTATAATTTTCATATCTCCTTTCTCTGGGTCAATCCAGAATATATTTGTGTAACCAAAAGTGCCACCCCCACCTACAATAGAATATGTGATTCCAGCGAATGGCAAATCTTTGTCTGTGGCACTCACTCTTCCAATTTTAGATGTAGCTGAAAAGAAAAGAATTTATGTTATTTTAGTGGTTTTAACACATTGAATACAAAGTAAAATATAAGGAAGATCAGGTTGTCCTAAATGAGTTCCTAGTTCAGATGATGTAGGCCGTGTTAAATGAAGGAATGTGTTTAGATTTAACAAACAGGGAAGAGGAAGAAAGACAGCCAGACATTTTCTATATTCTGGAAAAATTTGGGGGGCTTGGAAACTTCACATCTGAAGCTCTTGCAAAAAGGTACATTTTTTGCCAGAGTTAAACCAGTTCTATCCCATCAAACATCTTTCCCCCAACATTGTACTAGCCTAACTTGGGTTCTTAGTGTAAGGTGAGAGAATGGGAGGTTTTATGCCCCAGAGTGGTAGATTGGGACTCAAGGGGAAGATTCAGTGCTCACAGACCATAGGCAGAGAAGCTAAGACAAATATAAACCACTTTTGTATCCTCTTGGTGATGAATCCTCAAAGGGTTGCAAAGGCTGCCAAAGCAGAGATGCAGCAGCCTGCACTGGCCATTCTCCGAGCAGCAGCACTACCTGGGATCTCTGCCATACACTCCTTTCCCACTGCTGATCACATTCACTGTGCCAGTGAGGGGTCTTAGAAGGCAGCTTTATGGCCATCATTTACAATGCTTGTGCCAAGACATTTGCTGTCAGCTGAACCAAGACTTTGGGGACCCATTTATGCTGCTCTAGCCCTCCTTACCTGGTGTAAATTCTGCAGCGTGGGAATGAGGCTGTCACCCAGGAGATCTGAGCAGAATTTTTGGCATTTCCACAAATTTCTTAGATTGCTTGGGGGAATTGTGTAATCTCACCATATCTCAATCCCCCATATGCAGGCTAGGAATAACAATACTTTCTTTCTCCCACCCTTTGTATGTTTTGTTTGTTTGAAGGCTAACTTGTTAGCCTGTGCAGTGCAGCCTCAGTCTTTGAGGTGCTACCCTAATACAAATAAATTACAAAAATAAAAATGGACAAAAATGTACCATGAAACATTCTTTTTGTAGCATAGCCTTTACTTACTGTACCTGGAGTAATTTCTGGAACATTAAATACATATGATGAATTGTCAAAAACTGGATCAAACTCGTTCACTGGAAGTATTTTAATGTAAATGTAGATATTATCTGGAAACATAATGGAAGATTAAGTGCTGGTTAAGTGTGGCTGTGAAATTTTTTCTGGAACTTAGTCAAAATTCACATACATCTTTTCCCATGTAATTACAGCACAGGAAAAGTTTAAACAAAAGAATAAAACGGATACTTGCTCATATAATTAGGCCATGCAATATCTTGCACCACAACTGTCAAAGAATATTCATCCTTCATTGTTTGGTTAGGTGGGTTTTCGAAATCCAGATATCTAGCTGACTAGATTAAAAAGAAACACAACTATGTTTACACTTAATTCTATAAAGCCATAGTACACACTTTGGAAATGATTTTTTTAAGATCTTACTAATTTGTTATGTACCACTGTCCTTCAGATTAGTACATGCACTTACAGCCTCATTATAACGCAGCTTGTTTATAACAAAACCCCACGTTTAACAATCCCAACAGCAAAAACCATCTTTTTTTGTTATTTTGCTGTAGCACATTGACTACCCTATTATACATTCTGGTAGTGTTAGAGTGATATTGTAGCCATGGTGGTCCAGGAATTGTGTGAGAGGCAAAGATGTGTTTTTTGTTTTGTTGGGGGGGGGGTTTGTGGGGGAGGGTATGTTTTATTAGATGAACTGCATGGTCCTAGGGGTCTGAAGAAGGGCATTTGATGACCAAAATTTTGTCCAGTGTTGGCCCAACTATACTGTTGGTCAAGTAAAAGGTATCACAAAAAATCCCTGCCTTTTGAACATTTCCTGGACCATCACAGATACCAGAACAGTCCAACCCTACTACACCAATATAGGCAAAGCTAGCCTAGTTTAGGGTCTGTGTGATTCATCAGCTACTTTTTTATAAAAGTATAATGACAATCACACCATGTAAACTACCGTTTTTCTGTGTCTTGTGCTTGCCAGTTAGTGTAGTCTTCACAGTTTTTAATCAATGAAATAACTACTATTACACACATGAAGCAACTGGATGTGGATCTTGTAGCTGCAAATGTTGAAACTGATAATGGCACAAGGAACCCATTCTTATTTCACACAAAAAGCACAGGTGTGAATTGTAGTGTGCATTTGTCAGGACCCATGGGATTCAACCCTGGGTCTTCCACACTGTCAGAGGGAAGCCTGGGCAGCAGTGCCACCCAGCACCCGGATAAATATCAGCTTCAGCCCAGCCTGGGCCCTCCCGTGAGGTTCCCAGTGGGGGACCAGTTGACCTGGGAACACAATGGGAGCTATGAGCCCTTGACAGGAGGGCTTTAAAACCCTCCCACTTCCTCTAGAGCCTTGACCCAGCAGCACTGTTTTCAGGTGATCCTGCCTTGGACTCCTTCAGTCTTGTTCCTGTCTCAGCCCTCCTGGCCATGATCAACTGCTGCTCTCACCACAACCTTGTCTCAACCCTTGGTTTGACACCTAGCAGTCAGACAGATAGTTGGCTTCTAGTAAACCCCTGACTCTGGGCCTCATATCCCAGGCTCTAATCATTGTTTCTGGTTTCCTATTCCCTATCCTACTTCCTGAATTCCTAGCTCTCTTCTTGTTCTGGCCCCTGCCAGTTCATCCCTCCCCATCCCCAACTGCCTTGCTGGATCATGACCTAACCTGGAGATTTCTTACATCTTGGTCATAGGCTTGACAGCATTTATATAAATTTACTATTTTGAGTAATGCATTCTTATCAGTGGAGTAAGGAGGTGGTAATGAATTTGGGGCTTATGTTATGAATATGGTCTTTCTTCTGAATTGCCAGGACCTTACGTGGCACATCACAAATACAAAGGTAAGTCTTGAGTCAGCCTACAGTATTTAAGTCACTTTATCTATACTCCCATATAATTGTTAAAAAATGAATGTTAATTTAGTGTTGTGAAGCTCACTCCTGTGTGTCTTACACTCCTTAGGAAAGACATTTCAAACAAGTGTGTGGGTTTGGTTAAAAAAAGGGGAAAACCAACTACTTTCTGATTTTTAGAATAAAAAGCAATTTTTCTTTGTGATCTCTATAATACACAGAGAACATTCCCACAGAGGATTTTGTGGTGCACTTTCTGTCAAATCAGTCATTCACCAGCCTTCGCTTCATTATGACATTGATTACACTAATGGTTTTTCTTGAAAAGTTAATGAATCCAGGGTGTGATCTAAAGAAATGCCCTTAATTAGATATAACAAGCTGCCTCCTTAAATGAGACATACTAAAATAAAATCATAATTAACTGACCACAACTATTCCTGAGCCAGCTGGATCCAGTGTAAATGTATCACTTCCAAGTCCAGACAATCCTGTGAAGTTAAATTTATTGTTTGGTGGCTCAACATCATTATCATAGCAGTAATCTCTCAGGGCAAAGAGAAGTGTCCCAAGGGTAGCTGTTTCAGGTATCTCAAAGCTGTTTAAAAGAAACACATTTTCCATCATGCCTTTTTACAATTTTCCCCTGAATAGCTTCTTAATAGGTTTTGAACTGTACTGTATGTTGACTTCCATTTACTAGTCAAATCAAAATCCCAGGTTCAAACATCTGAATGTGAGAATGGAGCTGGAATTTGTTCCATATTACACTGGCAGTTACAATCTCTGTACTGGGTAGAATGAATATGGAGCTGGACAGAAACCAAAGGCCTATTATACCCCTTAACATGGAAATCTGATTCAGGATCTTAATTGCCCCTTTAAGTTTTAACAAGTATCTTTTTTAAAACATCTATTTCCTCCATAGATAGAATATCAACATGCTGAGACGTGTTGCTTCATTTGACCCTTAACTGATACATGCCTTTGGTTTGCTGTTTATCAAAGGCCCTGAAGCCAGCAAAACACTCAAATATGTGCCTGCTTACTTATTTGAGCAGTTCTATTATAGTTGATATAGGACCAAATTTCAATGGGATTATCTGCATGCTTAAATTTAAACATATGCTTGTTTAGTCCTACATAACTCTTAAACTACACTTGAATTCGATTTCACTCTTACCTGAGAAAACCTTATGATACATTTTCATAAAATTGTAAGATCATGACCTGTCAATCAGAAGAATATCTAATGCATTAACCAAGGCAATTCTCCCTTATCACATCAGTTTTGAACAGATAAAAAGTGCTTCTCCAGTGAATGGAATATCAGACAACCACAGAGTTGCAGACAGAAGCCCCAATGTTCTGTTACAATTCTTGTCATTGTGCATGCATCTACATGTGGTATTAAATCGAAGCAATAAACTCTGGCGCTTACCATGTTGGAGTTTATTGCTCCCAGGCACCATGTTTACAGGTACTCCCAAGACCACAGCACGTTGAGCTGGGTCAGAGCAGCCCTAGCTGTCAGGGAGCCCAGGAAGTCAGCCTGCCAGCCCAGAGCTGCTCTGACCCAGCTCAACATGCTGTGGAAGGGCTGGCTGGAGCATGAGGGTGCTCTAGTGCTGGCTGGGGCGTGAGAGCGCTCCAGTGCAGGGCTAGCCGGCAGGCAGCCCCCACTCTGAAGCACCCTTGCACCCCAGCCAGCCACATCAACATCTACACACATGGTGCTGCAGAGTAAAAAAACTCCGCATCAGGACAGTACTTGTATTTATTAAGTTCTTCTGTGGAGTTTATTAGTTTCCTGCAGCCTAATAGGGCCACACGTATAGATATGAGATGTTTACTATGGAGCTAATTAGTGTACTCTGTAGTAAATGTTTCCTGTAAATGCACCCTGTATATTGGTGAAAAGCTCCAGTGACAGTTACTTTTGTACTTTTGTGCTTTACACACAATATCTCCTTTCCCTCTCCCCCCATTCTTGCTCCTGGCTGACATGGAATGGGATCAGAAAAGCTCCAGTCAATTTACCCAATACTCCTTGAGCAGCCAGGGGTTTATATCTGTGTCAAGCACCATGGGAAATATCCTTGTAACTGGTGCTCTGCCTTGGGCACAGACTCCTTGGGCTCTCAGTGACTCACAGAAGTCAACTGAGTTAGATCCAGGTTAAGGTGGGTGTGAGATAAGAGCAAGGCCCACAGAGTCCCACTTGTAATCCTTGTTCAGGCACAACTCCCTTTGACTCGGTTACAAATGGAAGCACTTATAACAGCCAAAAGCTATAGTCATGAAATGGTTAATTAGACTCACGAAGGGTAAAAGAGTCCAAATTGTGAGAAAATTATTGTATCTGGGGTCATAATACTTCATATTCAATGTTTGTAAGTTTGGCTAACCATAACTGGTAGGGCTGTAACTTTTCATGCTGTTCATGCTGAGTCTGTTTCAGGCTCAGTCTTTTTTAAAAGTACCTGAAAAAAAATTTAGCCATTTCTGAGAACAAGGTCAGGGGAAAATTTATTGTCATGCAATAGTTAAAAAAAAAATTAACCACCTTCCCTTTGAGAAACTCTAGTGCACTCATAGTTTGGAAGCAAAAATGTGCTATTTCTCAGAGTGGTTAAGAGTATGTATTTTGCTATTCCTGTGAAAATCCACCCAAATTAGGCCACATTATAAACCTTTGAAAATTCCCAGTTCACACATGCCCTGTGGAGACCTCTTCAGAGTACAGCAGCTACAGTCTCTGAAGATGCCCATCCCCACTGAGCATGGCCCAGCCCCTCGCAGCTTCTAGTACTGATCACACTGCACATGTGCCATCACCACCGAGCCCCACTTACAGGACAAAAGGCCTCACTTAGACTTTCCTGTAACTGCTGCAGAGGTCTGTGAGGTGGAACAAAAGGCTCCAACCCTGCTGATGACGTGTAAGGGAGGCCAATACAATGCCACATGTCAGTTTTTGTTGTTTGCAGTTTGCTTTAAAAATAATTTTAAAAAAACTTAGGGAGTTCATAAAGCAAAACCTGTTAGCAGAACACTGTTAAGGTTGTAAAACCAAGCATTCAAAAATTAAGCAATCTCATGGCACAGGACTGAATATAAAGGAAGGGAGGTGGGTAAAGAATGGCAGAAGCTTAAAACAAAACAGCCAGAATAGTTTGACAATTGCCCCTGGAAATCAGCAGCATAGAATATATATATATTAGCATAAAATGAGAAAGGAGAAAAGTCTTTGTATAGATGGGAGAGATGATAGACAAGGTGATCTGCAGAAGGGTGTGTAATTGAAGGCTTATCTCACATCTCTCCCAACTATACAATGGATCCAATAAAAGATATCATCAAGAAAACCTTGCTTCTCATGTTGCACAGATATTTTTGGGTTAAGATTTCAAACCTGAACAAATCAGTGTTCACATCCCATTCACAGTCAGAGTTTACCAGTAACAGCCTATAGTAAATAACCTGTTTGAACACCTGAATGTAGCCATTGGACACTTCACTGAGGTGAGGTGTCCAAGATTGGACAATGGTCTCAATGTATGTGTGTCGTGCAAGATGGTATGACTAGCTTAGTACCTGAAGGTATACGGGTTGCATTCTGGTGGGTTGTCATTGATATCTTCAATAATCATTGTTATCTCTTTTTTGTTCATTTGTCCACCCCTGGGACTGTCCTCCACACATATTATCAATGTGATTCTTGGATGTAGCCGGAATGTAGAAGCTTCGCGATCTATTCGTTTAGCCACTTGGATGACACCAGTTACTGCAAGGAAAGGTATCAGAGAGTAGATCCTTGCTGTAGGAAAACTACGAGCACTAGTGTTTGAAGAGCAGATGGTCTCCTCCAGGACCCAGTGGATCAGAGAACTAGTAATAGGGTAAAGAGCCTTTTGAACAGCCACAATACAGCTGTTTATCTAACTCTGTGAAAGGAACAGGCATGTTCCATCCCCTTGCTCAGTGAGTAGGTGTCCCCAGCACAAGAATACCACAGGCAGCCTTGGCAGAGACCAGTCACTGAGTGGGCATGGATATTAGTTGCACTAGCAATACACCCATACCAGAGTCTCCTCAAGTCAGGTTTGAAGCACATGGGCAGAGCAGTTTTGGGAAATGTACACTGCTAATGCTAACACTGTCCCCACTCTGTGGCTAGTGAGATGATTTCATGTTTTGGTGTTGTCCTGTCAATATCCTCTACCAGTGCTAACTCTCACTTATAATGGAGAAGAGCCATTCCAAGCTGGGATGTGGTGTGTAAATTCTGGTGTTCAGCCATTCTTTATTAAGTTATGTAGCCCTTTGTCAGCCACTTTTGGAAGAACTAGATTACCTGTCAACAGTCCAGGACTATCACCAAAAAGCTAAAAGAAGGTAAAGAAATGGATTTAAGCACACTCTTGGTTGTATAGTGTACTAATGTGGAGTTCTGCCAAAAGCTACAGAAAATCAAAGTTTTTAAAAAAGGCTGAACAGTCAAGGAACCCAATTCTCCATTACCCTGTGTCATGACTAGCAACTTGTACCTGTGGTACTAATTCATGCAGAAGTGCCAGATCCACTGGATTCAAGGCACAGTGGCTTTCCTTTCTCTCTCATAACTGGTCAAGTACAGCTCAGCTGACTAAAGCAGGCTTGTCCAACATACGGCCCGCGGGAGCCCGCCGAGGCATTTTCTGAGGCCCGCGGTGCTGCGACAGGAAAGGAAAGTAAACACGGTTTACTTTCCTTCCCACCCCGTGTCCCTCCCCAGCCCCTCAGCACCTTCCTCGCGGCTGCTGAAGGGCTGCGGAAGGGACAAGGCTCGCCACGCCCCGCGTCACTCGCCGTTGCCGACGCGGTGGTGCGGGAAGAGGAGGAGCCGCGCGCCCTCGGGACAGGACGAGCCCGGCCGGAGCAGCCGGGGCTCAGCTGCACTTTCCGCACCTGCGCCGGTCAGTCCCGAGCGGCCCCCGGCTCCGCCGCCGCCTCTGGTGCCGCCCCGGGGGGCTGTCGCAGCCGGAGCAGCACGCGGCTGAAGGCGGCTTCCCACGTGCTGCTGGGGCCAGGTCGGCACCGGCCAGCAGAGGCGGCGGCGGAGCCGGGTGCCGCTCGGGACTGACCGGTGTAGGTGGGGAAAGTGCAGCTCAGCCGCTGCCGCTCCGGCCGGGCTCGTCCCGCCCCAGCAGCACGTGGGAAGCCGGCGCGGGGGGCTTCGGCAGGCGGGGTCCTGGCGTGACTTGCGCGGGACGAGGCGGCGGGAGCCGGTGTCTGCCAGACCTCGTGCTCCGGGCTCGCAGCGCTGAGGCCACCGGGGCTGCGTGGGCGGGAGGGCGCTGAGGGGCTGCGGGGCAGCCGCTGCCTCGCTCCAGCCCCCCTCAGGCAGCGCCGGGTCGTGGGGCGGCGCTGCTCGGGGGATGGGGATGTGGAGCTATTTATTTCTCCCCTTCAGTCTCTGGGGCAGGAGCTGGCTGGATGCAGAACGGGTCCCTCCTGCCCCTGCCCAGCAGCTACCATGCCCCTTGCAGTAAATAACAGGCAGGTGCAGTAGGGCTGCACAGGCAGGGTCTCTGGCCCAGGACAGAGGGTGTTTGAATATGGCTTGGCCGCCCACTGGGTGATAAAAAGTTCATGATCCGGCCCCACATTCAAAAAAGTTGGACACCCCTGGACTAAAGGATCTGGGTCTAGAAAAATCCTAAACATTTCTCCTCTGCAAGGTGGCCACAGAAGGACAAATAAAACTTAAAACAGGAGCAAAAACATCTTCCCAAGCCTGAGTTGCTACTTTTCTTTGCACCAAAATGAATGGCTAGATTGAAGAAGTGTATTTTGTCTTACATGGGTTTATGGAGAAATACTCATTAGGAGGGCTGATGCTGTAGGTCAGTCTGCTTATAAAGCCTTCATCATCTGGATCTTTAGCTGTTATATTGACAACAATAGTTCCTGGATGCTGTTCCTCAGGAATCATGTAATTTATCTGTTTCCTACAATAGAAAAGAAAAGTCAACAAATGGGATGTCCGTGATGCTTTGACAGCTTTGCACTGTACACATCCTACTGCTTGCCTTATGCTAGCTCAAGGACTGGTCTGCGTGCAGTAGTGTGGTGTTCAGCACGGTCTGCGAAAGCCTGCCTGAAAAGCACAGTAAACACTAGCTCCATGCTGCAGCAGGTAGACTGCTACCAGGATGCAAGCTGTATAGTTCAAGCATGACTGTAGCTGAACAGACAAATAAAGGCATGTCTATACTTTTTCCTAACCATGGTAGGGAGCATAAAGCCTGGCACTTGGCATGTACCAGAAAGCTTGCTGTCTCAGGTGTCCCTATTTGCACACATCCAGCACAGCTCTGAGGTGGTTATATTACCTGTTTTAAGGGACAGCATATATGAGATGGGCATGGCAAGCTTCACTGCAGCAGAAAAGCCCTCAGTGGCCCCACCTTACTATTCTCCCCTGCCTACAACCACTGTTAATGGTAACTGTGACTTGACATTCATGGTTTCACAGGAGATGGAGATAGAAGGATCATGTAGTCCTTCTCTCCAAATGCATTAGCTGCTTTACTTCTATCAACATGCTGGATAAAATATAAAAAAGGGCATCAACGGAGCACTGATTCTCACTGTGAATGAATACTGTCAAGTCTGCCAGAACAATATTATTTTAAAGAGCTTTTTTCAATGGTGCAACAAACTCTTAACGTGCTGGGACTTCCTGACTGAGAGTGCACCATGCTCCCAGAAACATTAGATGTGTTTTGTACAAGATCAGCTTGGTTGTCTTCATCCCTTAGAGTGTCTGTAGGGCCAGACTTCTCATGAAGTGTGGCTTGTGCTGTAGATACTGTTTTGCCCTCAGATGTATATGGTTACTTGTGAAGGCTGCAGTTGCAGGGGAAGTGGATGTTTTGAGGTACAGTTAGTAAATGCCTGTTCAAAAGCAGACAAGGGAGATCATGCACAAAATTATCAGAGGTCCAAAGACTATCCAAGCACTCCTTTAATGAAAATCTAACCAATTTTGTTGAAAAAGCACACAAGTTAGGGAGTTGGATTATGAAGCCCACTCCCTTACAGAGAACATAGTGCCCCCAGGCTCCAGATCGCATAGGGTTTTACTGATAAAAGCCACCTGAATTTCATCCAGCAGCAAAGAGAAAGTTGGTACAATCTATGGAGAATTGGTACAATAGATCACCATCTTATCTCCTGTTGCTTGCCTTCTCCCCCATCTGTTGTGACTCCTTCCTGAGTCACTCAGGAAGAAAAGGATAGCAGCAGATTGCCTGATTCTCCATTCTCTGTAGAGCAGACACCCCTCCATAACACCTCCTATATCTGCACAGGGGTTTGTAGGAGAAACAGCTCTAAGTCTCGCTACTTTTGAATGGAGCACACTATTTCCATAACTCTTGAAGAAAACCGGTAGATACTGAGCCTACTGTTGGTAGAGCTGAACACTAATACCACTGTGCAGTCATTCCAGCCACTTCCAGATGAGATTTATCTAGACTGTGTCCTGTTGATGACCTGCCTACTATCTGTCAGTGACTTCCTATGCAGTGCTTCAGGCAGATCCTTTAGAGTGGCAAAGATAACAATTCAATGAAACAGAAAATACATGGGGAGGGGCAGGGGGATTGTCTTCTTTGCATTCCTCACTTAAATGTTTCCATTGGTTGTTAATAGTCAGACTTTCAAAAGGTTGGATACCAATGTAGGATTCTGAACACCCAAAACAGATGTACTTGCAAATATTGTGGGCACAGTTAAAAAGACCCTTTGAAACTTTGGCACTGAGAGCTTTGATTTGGAGAAAATAAAGGTTTGCTAACTGGTTGAGTTTTCCCAAACTCCCACAACACTATTAATCATGACAGAGTCAGTAAATACAAAGCCTGGCAGGCAACTCATATTCTTTTTCTGCATATGATCTGTGAGGAAAAGTGATGAGCCGTGATCTGTGAGGGAAAGTAAAGAAGCATAATTTAGTCTTTGCCATCTCAAGCTCTTTATGAAAAGCATTTTGGTTTGTAGTGCCAGGAGAAATTCTGGCTCATTAAAGGAGGAGACCACTTCCATTAGGGATCTTATGAGATACTAGTGATTCTCTTTCCTTTAATTAATTTCTGTTTTTGCACCTAAGATATTTTGGATGCTGAAGTCATTGCTGTTATTCATTGTCTTGGGAAACATTTTGGAGGAGTAGGAAACTAAATATTTAGCACAGTCCCTATGATATTTCCAGACATGTCAATAAAATGACAATAATGGTAACGTGGAGGAAAAAATCAGTTTAGAATACAGTATGGTTTTACAGATATAAATGATGGTTCTGGAGTGCCATTTCCTCCTGTTCATGTAACAAATATGATTATATTTCATAGATTTCATAGACATTAGGGCTGGAAGGGATCTCAAAAGATCATCAAATCCAGCCCCCCGCCCAAAGGGCAGGAAGTCAGCTGGGGTCATAGGATCCCAGCAAGATAAGCATCCAAACTTCTCTTGAAGGTGTTCACTGTAGGTGCTTGAATCACCTCCGATGGCAGGCTGTTCCAGACCTTGGGGGCTCGGACAGTAAAGAAATTCTTCCTTGTGTCCGGCCTGAAATGGTCTTGCAGGAGTTTCTAACCATTCGACCTCATCACCCCTTGGGGCGTTCTGGTGAACAATCATTCCCCCAGATACGGGTGGTCACCTCTGATAAACCTATAGGTGGCCATCAGATCACCCCTGAGCCTGCATTTTTCCAGGCTAAAGAGCCCCATGGTTCTCAGCCTGTCATTATAAGGTCTGTTTTCTTGACCTCTGATCGTGTGCGTGGCTCTTCTCTGGACTCTCTCAAGCTTCTCCACATCCTTTTTGAATTGTGGAGCCCAAAACTGGATGCAGTACTCCAGCTGCAGCCTAACAAGGCTGAGTACAACAGGAGAATGATGTTCCAGGTTTGCTTGAGAAGCATCTATGGATGCAAGCCAGCGTTTTGGTCACTTTACTAGCTGCAGCATCGCATTGCAGGCTCATGTTCATCTTGTGGTCAATGATGACCCCCAAGTCTCTTTCTTCCATAGTGCTAGCCAGTGTAGCACTGCCGAGCCTATAAGGATGCTGCAGGTTTTTCTTCCCAAGGTGGAGAACCTTGCATTTTTCAGTATTAAACACCATCAGGTTCTCGTCCGCCCATTTGCTGAGCCTGTCCAGGTCAGCCTGGATCACCCGCCTTTCTTCTGGCATGGATGCTTTGCCCCAAAGTTTGGTGTCATCGGCGAACTTGGCCAGTCCACTTCTGACTCCAATGTCCACATCATTAATGAAGATGTTGAACAATATGGGTCCAAGGACAGAGCCTTGGGGGACCCCACTAGTCACAGGGCACCATGACAATTGACTTCCATCTATTACCACCCTCTGGGTCCAACCACAGAGCCAATTTCTCAGCCAGCGGATCGTGGTGGACCCAAGGCCACAATTGGCCAGTTTCAAATTGGCCAGATTACAAACAAATATTAAGTATTTGTTTGTAATCCTTCCCAGTTACTTGTTATCTTCATGCATTTCAAGTTTCAAATGAGTGGGAACAAATGTCACAAGCTTCTGTTATAATACTTTGTTCTTCTGTCTCACCATATCTCAGGCTTTACAAATCATGGGTCATCCTTGGCCTCAACCATAGCTGTCCTCCCTATTTCACAGAGAAAGCAGCATGTCTTATAAGGACAGCTGAAATCTCTTGGCATGATGGTGACACAGTGCACCTGGCTTTACACTGTCTTCTCCCTCCTTGCTCTAGAGCAGCAGTGATCAAGATATGGCCTGTGGACCAAATACAGTCCATGGAGCTGTATCATCTGACCTGTGGGGTTCCCCATGGATCCAGAAATTTGGAAGCAGGATGAGTGGCAGCAGCTGGATGAGTTGGGCAACACTGGCTTAGGGAGCAGGAATGGTGCTTGCTATACTCTGGCAAATCCCCATGGTTCTAATGGCAGAAGGAAGGTACAACAAATTGGCATAAATTAGAGCAACTTTTGGCCTGCCCTCACTTGCACTAGAAGTTGATTTGGCCCTGGGATACCCCCAGGATCAAGAGATTTTTGTGCAGTTGAAGTTGAAACCCTTTAATTCTTGCTTTGAGACTATCGCAGAGCTCTCAGGTGCCCTGCGACTGAGAGCAGAAACGGCTCGGGAGAGACCCCTAGTGGCAGGAAGGGGGAAGCGCAGCTGCCAGTCACCAGGACTGCTCAGGTGCTGGTTGCCCTGGCAACCAGGGAAACCTAGAGACAGGAAGGGGCGGAGCTTAGCCCTTCTTAAGCCCAGGCAGAAGGCCAGGAGGGCAGTTCCCCTCCGGCGGCCAAGGGGGGAGGAACTTAGCCAGAACAAAGGGGAGAACTCTGACGGTCAGAAAATCCCCTGGTTCCTGCTGGGGGTTGATGTGCTTGCTCTCTCTCTCTCTCTGGTAGGGAGGGATTCATATTTTTGACCAGAACGGTCTAGCTTTTATGTTGTAGCCCAGGGGCTTTGCATTTTGTGTTTACTGTTTCTCCAGAGGACCAGGTGAAGCTATTAGGGGTGGAGGGGGCCTCATAGGAGCTCCACGATAGCGTGGGGTCTCCTGGTCCCGGAGAGGGCGCAGCTTTGTGTAGGGGCACATTGGCCCCACCCCGGAGTTAGGGGGCAGTGAGAAGCCCGGAGTTAGGGGGCAGCGAGGAGTGCTGACTGGGAGGGGCAGTGAGGAGCCTCGACTGAAGGGGGCAGCGAGGAGCCCAGAGTTGGCATGGGCGAGAAGTTCTGAAATGAGCAGTGCGTGACAGGCTAGAGGGTGCCGGTAGGGGCGCGGGCTCTGAGACGAGCTAGAGGGCACCGGTGAGGGTGCAGGCTGAGAGATAAGCCAGAGAGCAACTGCGTGGCGCAGGGAGTAGGACAGACCTGAACAACACCAGATACATCTGCGAGGCTTGGGCTGCGGTATAAGGGGAGGAAAGGAGCCGCAGATAGTGCCTAAGGCACCGAGGCAGAAAATAGGCAGCCTCCCGTTTTGATTAAGATCTTTCAATCAAGCAAATAACAACAAGGCGTGGCAGGAGAGAAGGCGGACGGTTGGCCCTTGATCGGTGTTGTGGGACCACAAATAGACAGTCCTGGGGAGGCACTGTCATAGAGACGTATGTGTATTATATCCATTTTATAGAAGTTAAATGATTTATCTAAAGTCATTCAGCTAATCAGTAGCAGAATCAGATCAATCTCTCAGAAGTTCTATCTGCCAGGCCATATTCTTACCACTATAGTCCACATTTCTTTTCTTTGCAAAATAATCCTTTTAGTATCAAATCTACACTGTCCTCCATTTCTGAGACTTTCAATTCTATTTCTTGTTCCTGCTTTGAAAAATATCTGTTACTTTGCAGACTCTATTTCTGAACCGTGTATTATGAAATAGCAATTCCCTGGTTATGACACAGTGGGTACAGCTACACGTGTGCCAGATGGCATAGTTGTTACTGCGTAGTCATTAAGTATTTTCTTAAGTACTTAATGACTGCGCAGTAACCACCATTCCTGTGCAGTCCCAGAGCCACACAAGTCATTTCTGACACTACTGCACAGTAGCATCGGTGTCATGGTTCACGTCTGCCAACGCTATGTTGCTGTAGCTCATTGCTATGGCAGCATAACATCTCATGTAGATACACCCAGGGACAGAGTCAGGGGCAACAAAGATGACTAATGATTTACTATTGTATGTGTCTAGGAAGAGAACAAGGCAGATCAAAGTGAAAACCTTTGTATGTCTAGACGTATGTCTAGGATGCGTTTCAATATGGACAAGTGCAGGGTGCTGCACTTGGGCAGTAGGAACCAGCAGCACACTTACACAATGGGGAACTCCCTACTTGAGAGCACGGAGGCAGAGGGAGATCTTGGAGTCATTATTGACTCCAAGATGAACATGGGCCGACAATGCGAGGCCATGGTTGGCAGGGCTAACCGGACCCTATCGTGTATCCACAGGTGCATCTCGAGTAGAGCCAAGGAGATGATCCTCCCCCTCTATGCAACGCTGGTCAGGCCACAGCTGGAGTATTGTGTCCAGTTCTGTGCGCCCCATTTCAAGAGGGATGTGGACAACATGGAGAGGGTCCAGAGGAGGGCCACCCGCATGATCCGGGGACAACAGGGCAGACCCTACAGTGAGAGACTGCGGGACCTGAACCTATTCAGCCTCCACAAGAGAAGGCTGAGGGGGGACCTGGTGACCGTCTATAGACTCACTAGGGGGGACCAGAAGGGTTTGGGGGAGACGCTGTTTCCCCTAGCGCCCGCTGGCATAACAAGGAGTAATGGGCACAAGTTGATGGAGAGGAGGTATAGATTGGACATCCGCAAAAACTACTTCACAGTTAGGGCGGCTAGGAGCTGGAACCAACTTCCAAGGGAAGTGGTGCTGGCCCCTACCCTGGGGGTCTTTAAGAAGAGGCTGGATGCCTACCTGGCTGGACTCATTTGAGTCCCGTTTTTGTTTTGGGGTTTTGTTGTTCTCCCGCCCTGGCGGGGGGTCGGGCTAGAAGATCTACTAGGTCCCTTCCAACCCTAAATCTATGAAACAATGAAACTATGAAACGTATTGCTGCATTAATAAGCAGCATGAGAGTAAATACACATAGTTATGAAGTGTAAATACTGTATGAGTTTATTCACAAAGGGGGAATCTACCTCTCAGTGGGCACATCTACACATGCAAATGCTCCTGGGTGGGTTTACTCCAAAGTAATTTACTCCTGCCCCACAACCTACACCACCACCTGGAGGGCTACCTGTGGCTATGCTACACGTCCCTGTTTTCCACAACCAAGGTGTGAGAGGACCATGCCCTCCAAGTTGCGGGGGCACAGGCTGCTCAATAAAGTTTTTCACTGTCTCCCACCTCCCTGTATGCTGTGGGGGCAGAGAAACCCAGGGCCAGGGGAGCATGGCCAGGCTGGGTGGGGGGCAGGGGCAGGAACAAGGGCAGGGGCGGGAAGGGACCTGCCTCCAGTGCAGGGCTTACTAGGTGGGCTTGGCAGGCGTGCTCAGTGGCTTGAATTAGTCCCCATTGGTGGCAAGGACATGTAGTTCCTGGTGATGTCCTGGGATATAGGGGTGCAGCATCTGGCTGCCCAGGCAGGGGCCCCCTCCAGAGAGGAGCTGGTAGATTGTTGTGCCCTGGCTGTCCTGGCGTCCTGGGCAGGGTTGCTTGATTGGAGCTGGCAGGGCTTGCACTGGCCCAGGCATCTAGAGCTTCTGGAAGAGGACAGGGGCAGGGAGCATGATGGAATGGGTTCCTGGTGGCCTGAGGAGCCTTCCCCTGGTGACGCATTGCCTTGGGTGCCAAGCCACAACAGAGGGTTGGGCAGGCTGCCCATGCTTGAGTAGACAGCATGTCTCAGGCCATGGTCCTGGGGTGCAAGGATATCATCCAGCTGCCACATAAAGGGCATTACCTTGCGGGCAGCCTCTGACTAACAGTTGTGGTCAGTGACCGTGACCTACTGTGCCTTCAAGGCCTGGACCTTTATAAGGCACTGGCACACCAACCAGTCATACCCACACTCCTGCATGCAGCCTGACAGATGTTGATGTAGATATACATGTTGTAGGGGCCACTGCACAAACTGGCTAAGGACCTCAGCTCCTCCCCATAGCACAACAAGGTCCTCAGTCTCCTATTGGGACCATTTGTAGCCCCAGGAGGCAATGTGTGGCATTGGGAAGGATGCCACCATGGCTTCCTCAATGGGTCACTAGGCCTCCATGCAGCAGTCCCAGTGCTGGTGGGCCTGGGCAGGCACATGCAGTGTCTAGTGCAGGGACATGGCATGGGACAGGTAGGCATGTGGTGATGGTGTGCCAGGCACCAGTAGCAGAGTCTGGGCAGGCCTCTGTGGGTGGCCTGGGGACAGCTGGAGTGGGACCTGGTGGCCAGAGGCTGGCTGCAGGTGGCCCAGGGTGCTGCCAGGCCCCGCAGCTGCCTGCAGCACCCAGTGCAGGACCACAGCATGGAACACACAGCCACGCAGTGACACGGTGCCAGGGATCAACACTAAGGTGCAGGCAGGCTACTGCAGTTGGCCTGGGGCCTCTGCAGAGATATGCAGTGGCCAGAGGCTGGATTCAGGTGACCCAGGGCCCTTCCATCCCCACGGGCTTTTAAGGACCTGGGGCTGGGGCAGACAAAGAGCTGTCCCAGCCCTGGGGCTAAGCTGCAGGTGGCCCTCTGGTGGTAGAGCTGGCCAGGGGCAAATTTGCTCCCAGTCAGCATCTGCATGTGCATTACTGTGCAGTAACTAATCAGGAGTTAATTTCCTATTTGTGTTTACAGGGAGCAAATTAACTTACAGTTAGACCAAATTATTGCACAGTAAGCATCTGTATGTGTAGACAGCGACACTTATTACCCAGTAATTTGGTCTACTGCTCAGTAAAGCATCTCATGTAGACACGCCCGGTCTGTGCCAGCACAAAGGTCTGTATGCCACTTAAATAGCTGTCAGATAGGCCATTGCTTTCATTTCAATCCTCTGCCTAGGAACAAATTTTGTCCCAAATCTAGCATAAATAATGAATATAGGGATAACAGAAAGAAATAACAATGAAAACTTCCAACAGGAGACTTAGAACACAAGTACTGTTTTAGCAATAGCCAGATGTCATATCAGGTAATGGTTATACTATAGCACACCTGAAAACCATCCATATTTTTTACATTATATTGATGTTTCACTCACGTGGTAAAATACGGTGCTTCATCATTGGTGTTAATTATGTTGACTATCACAGTTCTGGTAGTTTTCAGCCCTAAGTTGTCTGTCACGGTTATATTTAAAAAGTAACTGTTAAATAAAAGCAAGCAAGAATCACTCTTTGAACTCTCAGCATAGCTATTTGTGTTAGCTATGAATTACTAATCACTAAGTGACCAAAGTTAATTCTTACCAATGCTGATCTTTCTCATAATCAAATTGTCTTGTGGTAGAAATGGTTCCACTGTTAGACACAATGAATAGGCCTGAGGCAGGGGTCAACGAATACTGGGATAAAAAGAATCTCAATTAGCCCTTGTATTTTTTCCTAAAACATCTGATCCCACATGTCTTATAGAATGGACATTTGCACATTGATGGGATGTACCCATTTCAAACATGTCCCTCAGGTTTGTGTAATGAAACCAACAGGAATCATGGCCACCAAACCTAGGATGTTAAGTCCAAGCCCCTGTCACTAAAGCTGAAGGACTTGATGCTGGTTGACAGTAAGCAGCAAGGTGTGCTTCTTATTGGTGCCAGCCAGTAGAAGGAGACATAGCCACATAAGATAAGTCAATCATTGTATTACACTGATATCCTAATTATTCTCTGCACCTTATGGTCATCTGTTCTCTGAAGAGAATGCAATGTATCTACTGGTACATGTGTGCGCCTATATCCACCTGGTGGCTGGGCTACAGGAGATAACAAACTCCATGCCCAAGGAGACCACCAATGCATTTAACTAATATTCTATATGTCATTTAAAGTGTCTCTTGGCATCACGACTATTAGCACATTAGCTAGATCTTTTTCTGGTATGAATTGATCATTGACAGTAGTTGGTGACCCAGTGAGCTATTTCTGTTGCACATGCTTTATACCCTTATCTCCAGCAGGGAGGTAGACATAAGGTATACAGGAACAAGATTATTGACACTGTGCACTTGTACAGTGATTGCAGGCTTTTAACCAGAGGACTATCCACAGGACACTTGCCACAGGAAATACCATGCACATGGTTCCTCCTTCACCTCTTCCCTTTTAAATGGGGTCTACAAAACAATTCTTCTGTGTGCCAGCAGTCCTGTGAGGACATCTTTACTAATATGGCAAGTAACATCCATAAACTCTAGACCAGTGGTTCTCAACCTTTTTAGACGCTGGAGGCACCCCTGATTTGATTGCAGGCATTTCCCCATAACTTCTGTGAATTGAACAACACTTCATTGCAACAAGTTCTTACCTCCTTGCAGAGCAGCCAGATAGGGTTGAGTTTGAGTGTGCACTTACCCTCTTATACCTGCATATCTACTTACACCTCAAGGCACCCTTCAGAAGATCTTGTGGTGCCTCGTGGTACCCAGTTGAGAATCAGTGCTCTGGACTACACAACACTGAGTAATCATACATCATAATCATAATCAGATGATGTGTACAGGCCTACACCCTTATAGAAGACCCATTCCATTTATTCTACTTCCCCAGTGTTGCTTCTTTAGAAAAACAGAAATTAAAGAGAACTGAGTGTAGTCATTTCCTACTGTGATTTGTTTAAATGAAGTTTCTGGAAACGAAGCTGAATAATGAGCACAATAAATCTACAAATTCTTATGACAAGAAAACTCTTGTTTCCCTAGTGGGAGTATTATTTTACTAGCTGTCCAACATTTCTACATTTGTAGCCCCTTATGGGGATGGGGAAACACTAACTGGAGCCTACTCAGGGACCAACATACAGGAAAGCTCCATTGACAATGAAACCAAGCAAGCCACTCTCACAGGAGCTGAGAAAGCAGCTCCCCTTCAATATAACAGGCAGCCAGTGACCTCAGTAGAAGGACTTAGGTGGAAGGACACCAATGCCAGAAGCATGGGGAACTAGTCCTCCTGCTTTCCACTGGGCACTGTGATCTGGCAGGGATCATGGAGACCTGATGGGACTCCTCTCATGACTGGAGCGTAGCCATAAAGGGCTACGTTCTTCACAGAAGGGATCAGGTAGGGAAGAGAGGTGGGGGTGTTGCCTTTGATGTGAAGGAGCAGTACACCTCCCTACAGGCTGATGTCAGCCCTAAAGAAGAACAACTTGAAACCCTCTGGGTCAAGCTCCAGGGGAGGCGTGGCGAGAGAAACCTGACTGTAGGTGTATACTACAGGCCACCTAACCAAGGGGAGGAACTTGATCTAGCGTTCGCCCATGAACTAATGGAGACCCCACATGCATGGGACATGGTTGTCATGGGTGACTTCAACTACCCAGACAACTCCTGGGAGGAATGCTCAGCCATCTCAGATCAATCACGATTCTTCCTGACCAGTACCGAAGAGCCTTTTTTGACTCAGGAGTTGCACAGGCCAACTAGAGGCAATGCACTTCTTGACCTGGTCCTGGCCAAAGGGCATGACCTGGTGACCAACTTAAACATAGAGGGCAGCCTAGGTGATAGTGACTATGAAATCATTATGTTCATGGTCTGTCACAAGGCTGACAAAACAGATACCAAGTTCAAAGTCTTAGACTTCAAAAATGCAAATTTTAATAAGCTAGGGTCACTAGTAGAGAATGCCGTGAGAAACCAAGGACCACAAGTAAAGCAAGTGCAAGAAGAATGGTAGTTCCTTAAGGACACAATCCTTAAGGCTCAAAGAAAATCCATTCTCATATGGAGAAAAAGTAGCAGAAGGGACAAAAAACCCTCTTGGCTAAGCAGGGAAGTTGCAGCCCTCCTACAGAAAAAGAAAGAGGCATATAAACAATGGAAGCTTGGGACAGGCTCTAAGGAAGTCTACTTCACAATGGCCTGCAGATTAGGCAGGCTAAGGCAGAAACCGAACTAAAACTACCTACAAGAATCAAGGACAACAAGAAGTCCTTCTTTAGCTACACAGGGAGTAAAAGAAAAACTAATGTGAGTGTGGGGCCGCTGCTCAATGCCTCAGGATACCTGGTCACTACCACTCAGGAAAAAAACGGAACTCCTAAAAGACTACTTTGCCTCAGTCTTTCACAAGACCAAGGGGAACAACACACCAGGTAGGGCACAGAATGAACAGGGCGGGATTAACACTGTTCCCACCATTGCAATATAACTGGTGTACAATCAAAGAAATTAGACATGTATAAATCAGCAGAACCTGATGAACTCCACCCAAGAATGCTGCAAGTGTTGGCCAAAGTAATCGCAAAGCCCCTGGCAAAGGTCTTTCAAAAATCATGGGCCTCTAGACAAATCCCAGAGAACTGGAAGAGGGCCAATGTTGTGCCCATCTTCAAGAAGGG